GGGCAGCCATCTCCAATGTGGCACAATCCAATTGTGTTGGATTACAGTTCCTATCATCTTCAACCCTTCTGGCTGTTGAGGGTGGTGGACATCATTCTTGGTGGTGTTCTTGTCTGCCTTTTAAGTCTTTTCCGACTTACCACAACCCTAAGGTGACCCTTTTATAGGATTTTCTTGGCAAGATTCATTCAATACGCATGAAGTTCCCAAGGTCACCCAGTGGGCTTCTATGGTGAGCTGGGATTCGAACCCTGGTCTCCTGAAGTCCTAGTCCCTACACTCAAACCACTATACCACATTGGCTTCTTTTTTCTCCCCTCTCCCTTTTTAAAGTATACTGGGTTGGAGAAAGTTGGATTAGGCTTTATTAGGTATTATGTTGGTTTCAGGTTACAGCTGGGACTACTGCAAAATAGCAAACACTTAATATTGCAGCCCAATAATGTTGTCACACCAGCCCACCAAACCTTTTCCACTGGATCTCTTATTATGCTTCCCCATTTTCCTCCCCAAGTCTCCACGTCTGTGCCAACCTGTCCTTTGGGAATGGATTTGATCTGTGTTTGCAGCAATTTCACTTTCAAACTTTGCTCATTGTAGAAGATCAATTTCCTTCCTCCCTTTTGGCCACCCACTCTGCCTGCTTTTCAGTCATCTAATGGTCAAAACGCTCATCCCGAGCCCCTTGGGCAGGCTGTAAAGCTAAATAAATGGAATCATTGTAAGCAGCAGGCTGGAACAAGGGGAAGAAACACTGGGTTTAAATCTCACAAAGGAATTTATTGGCCCTGAGAGGCTACTGGCTTGGATGATGCATATATACCATTCATTTATAAAATATATGGAGTGAGTCCAGTGGTCCTTGAAAATGTTCAGCCAATTATTCCAGTTTAACAAACCACCCGTATCTTTTAACTTTCTCTTTCTGTTCACAAAGAGTTGTTTCATTGCTTCATTCAGCAGCTCTGGTTACAGCAACTAGTACCATTAGGTACCATTCCCTAATACCTGTCCATGAGCATTTGTATTGCATGCTTGCTGTTGCATATGTTCCCCACTCCCAGGAGTTTAAGGCAGCAAGTACAGAGTTGTTGTCCCTATTATCTGTGTGGGGGCCTTCCTTGGAAATACCGTATTTTTGATTTTTGGTGTTGTGTGCCTTCAAGTCATTTCCAATTTATGGCAACCTCATAAATGGGATTTCATCTTGGATTAAAGGTGAAGTTTATTGTGAAGGGCTTTGGACACAACACCTTTCATGAAATGGGGTTTTCTTGGAAAGATTTGTTTGGAGGTTTGCCTTTGCCTTCTGAGGCTGAGAGAGTGTGACTTGTCCAAGGTCACCCAGTGTATTTACATGGCCAAGCCAGAATTTGAAACCTGGTCTCCAGAGTCATAGACCAACACTCAAACCATTACACTACGCTGGCTCCTCCTTGAAATATAGAGTAATAGATTTGAAAGGGACCTCAAGGCCCATCTTCTAGGCCAGGGGTAGACAACCTTTCCCCTTTGAGGGCCGAGGGACTTCAGCTCCCAGAAGCCTCAGCCATGTTGGCCAATAGTCCCATGTTGGCCAATAGCTCCTGGGATTCTGGGAGCTGAAGTCCTTCGGCCCTTAAAGGGAACAGGTTGCCTACCCCTGTTCTAGGCCAACTCCTGGCATGCAGCAATAGACCACTAAAGCCTTCCTGAGACATGGCCACCTAATCTCTCTTTAAAGAGCTCCAAAGAAAGAGAGGAGTGCTTTGGGAGATCAGCCAACAAGACTCTGAGCGATGGAGGGCTTCCTGGAGGAAGGAGGCAGAGTTTGCCACCTCTTGTGTTATACCACCTGGGTTAAATACCTCATTCTGTCTAATGGGAGGGCCTGGCCTGAGGGCAGTCATCAGTCTTACTACCTTTTTATTAGAATCCAAACAGGAGCCAGGTATGAAATGTAGGGCATGGGGATGTATGATGCATGGCCAGTAACAAAATGGTGGGGCCAAATCCTATCCCATGCCTCTGAACTCCATCTACAAATCTATCTCTGAGTTACTCTGAAAGTAATACCTTTTAGACATTTTACAGCTCCTATAAGTCCCAGCCATTGTGGCCTATGATCAAGGATTATGGGAATTGTTCCTACTCAGTGTGGTAGGATGTTTGGATCAGGGTTCTAACAACGTAATTTAAGGACATGAGGGATGTCTTGTTGCCCTTGCTATCGCTGAACATTTTCCCATCTGTAGCAACTTGTCCAGCTGTCTTCTGGTAGCTCCTGAGCTACCTTCCAACTATCTCAGGGTTAGACAACAGTAGTTTTGCTTAAAAAACACTGGTAGGATGCTACATCAGCCAGACCTTCCATTGGAGACGGACTGGTTAGAAGCATTCTGGAATATAAAGAATGCTTCTAACCGGTATAAGGACTTGGATGCACAGAGGGAAAATGAGAATCGCCATGCCACCAATTTTGTAATTTTTAATACTTCTCAGCTGCATGAGATAAGGTTTCATCACACACCCTTCCAGTTTCTGAGGATCATGGGCTGGTTCTGTCAAAATTCCTAGCCAAAATGTCCAGTAGCTTTTTTCCTCTAAGTCCCAGTGTGGTAGGAAGCCATGTTTGACCAACAGAGCTCTCTCTCTTTCTGTGTTTGCTCAAGTCTTATGATTTTCACCAGTCATAGGACAACTTTGGAGAGATAAATAGTGTAAGGTTTGGGGCAACTTGGGAGAGAAAAGTTGAAGAAGGGCTGAAGAATCCCCATTAAAGACTCTGTATGATATCACCCTACTTGTTCAACTTGGACACAGAAAAAGGAGGGATGAAGATAGGAGGAAGGAGTAGCAACAATCTAAGATATGCGGACGACACCATGCCACTAGCAGAAAACATCATAGACTTGGAACAACTATTAAGGAAGGTCAAGGAAGAAAGTGCAAAGGCAGGCTTACTGCTGAACAGAAAGAAAACAAAAATAATGAGCACGAAGGAGCTACACAAGGTCAGCTTAGATAATGAGGAAATCGAAACAGTTAAAGAGTTCCCATGCCTTGGATCAAACATTGATCAGGACAGAGACTGCAGCTAAGAAATCAAATGACTAGGAATGGGGAAGGCAGCTATGAAAGAAGTGGAAAAGATTCTAAGGAGTAAAGACATACAACTAAGCAAAATAGTTAGAATCATACAAGCCATTGTATTCCCCATCACCGTGTATGGATGTGAGATCTGGACAGTGAAGAAAGTCAATAAGAAGAAAATCAACGCATTTGAGATGTGGAGAAGAGTGCTGAGGATAAAGTGGACGTCCAAAAAGACAAACAAATGAGCCTTTGAACAGATCACGCCTGAACTCTCCCTGGAAGCCAAGGTGACCATACTGAGGCTGTTCTACTTTGACCACATCATGAGAAGGTATGACTCATTAGAGAAGATGATAATGCTAGGAAAGATAACTGGCAGAAGAAAGAGAGGAAGGCTGCACACTAGATGGATAGACTCATTCATATTGGCATGAATTTGCAGGACATGAGCAGAGCAGTGGAAGGCAGGGGATCTTGGAGATCTCTCATCCACAGGGTCACCATGAGTTGGGGCCAACTCGAGGGCAGCTAACAACAGTAACAATAATAGCAGGGCCAAGTCATAAGAAGCCATACAAGGGGTGCTAGGAGTTAAAACCATGTACCATGGAATCAAAACTGAGGGGCAGTGTCAGAAAGAGAAAAGAAGCCAGTGCTAAAGAACTCTCCAAAATAAGCAACAGAGCTGGGGAGGCTTTTGTTGCTCAATCCATGTCCTAAAGCAAATCCTTATAGGCGTTCCTGTCTGGGTTGGCCCAGTAGTCACTCTGAGTGAGCAAGAATAATCTAAGCCTCAAGAATTTTTCATTGCTTGTGAACAGGATGGGGAATGCTTTACCATATTTGGGACCACAGCTCCCTATGGACTATGCTGTCTGGGGCTTCTGGAAGTTGAAGTATAAACCATTTGGAGAGCTAAATGCTCCCAGCCCTTGTGCTCCAGTTTGCAACTCTGCACCATCAGATGACCTTACATAGAGTTGCAGGTTTCTTGTTGTTCCAACACATGCTTGGTGGCCTCGGGCAAAAGAACTGCAGTTTGCTGAAGGCTTGTCCAAGTGTCAGTGCTCTTGCCCCTGAAACTGCCTGCTTCCTTCAGTCTCAGTTGTTGCCATCTCATGCCATGTCACCTCATACTTGGTTGCTTTCAGAAGTGCCTGCAAGGTTAATCTTCCTCCTGCTGAGGCATCATCTTCCTGCCGTTCAAGAGTCCTGGACCACGAAATGCCATTGGAAGCTGCATTGTGTTTCCGCTTAGTTGGCAACGTGATCAAAAGCAAGGCAGATGAAAAGGAGCCGCAAAGCCTTTTCCCTCCTTAGCCTTGCTGAGAGAGAGGGCAGCCAACCGAAAGAACGTTTCCCTCTCTCACCACGTGCGGCTTTTGCCTCTGCTTCTGAAGTCAGTTTTCCTCGGGAGCTGATGCTAACCTTGGTTTTTCTGTGTCACTGGTGGCAGGCGGACAAAAGGAAAAGGCTAGGCTTTGTTTGAGCTTAATTCATTAAGAGTTGAACATATTTTAAAAATCATAATGGCTGTCAGGCTGAAGCTGGAGGAGGAAATGTTAATCCTCCACAGTTAGTGGTGTATGTGGCTAGTAGAAGCTTTTGCCACCACCCAGGTTTCCTGTCACCCCTCCCATTGACCTCCTCTCGTACCACACCATACAGAATCCTTAGTAATGTTTTTTGTAATAATTTTATTCATAAATCGTAATTTCCAGTATCATGGGATACATGTTTGGGGAGCAGTGGTGTCATCTCCCCTTAGGGTGTCACCCGGTGTGGTCCGCACCCCCTAGTGATGCCCCTGGGTCGGAGGAGTATTACTGGGTGGAGTGGCAGAGAGAGGAGGAGGAGGAGGGAAGAGAGAATGGATGTGTGGGAGAGACTGAGAGGATGTGTTAAAGGATAGGTAGACAAGAACAGCCAGTGTGGTGGAGTGGTTTAAGTGTTGGACTATGACTCTGGAAACCAAGGTTGAATTCCTGGCTCAGCCATGGAAACCCACTCAATGGCCTAGGGCAAGTCTATGTTATTTGGATTTTATTGTAAGCCACTTGGCTTGTTGTCATTAAGCGGGATATAAATACATTTATTATTATTATTATTATTATTATTATTATTATTATTATTATTATTATTATTATTAAGTCTCACGCTCTCAGCTTCAGAGGGAGGCAAAGGCAAACCCTCTCTGAACAAATGTTGCCAAGAAAACCCCTTGATAGGGTCACCATAAGACAAAAGTGACTTAAAGGTGCACAGCAACAACAGAGATAAGACAAGGCGTGTGTGTGTGTGTCCATGAGAAGACTCCATCTCCTCTCCTCCCACCAGTGGCATTCAACCCCCAGCAATTTTCACAGAAGGGAATGCAACCTTTAGAGAGGAAAAAATGTTTCCCTCCTAGGATCTAAAGCAGGGGAGGGGAAGCTCCAGCTTGAGGAGATCTGTGGACTCCTTCCCCATCCTGAAAGCCACACCTTGGAGACTACCTTGAAGGAAATCCTCACTATCTCTCTCATAAGTGATTAGAGGAGCCAGTTTGGTGTAGTGGTTTGAGTGTCAGACTGCGACTCTGGGTTTGAATCCCTGCTTGGCCATGGAAACCCACTGGATGATCTTAGGCAAGTCATACACTCTCAGCCTCAGAGGAAGGCAGTTGCAAATCTCCTTGGAACAAAGCTTGCCAAGAAAACTTCATGATAGGTTGGCCTTAAGGTGGGAAACAACTTAAAGGGACACCACAACAACCAAGGTGACTGGTGATAGTTTGGGAAGGGAGATGGAGTCAAGGCCAGCCAAGCTTATGGCCAGCTTTGCTCTTCCTCCCCTTTCCTTGCACATGGAAGAAGAGCAAAGATGCCACCTAGAAGTGCCAAGTAGAAAAGCTCCTCCTTGGGCTTCAGCCAGGGAACCTATTATGTCAGGAAGCATAGCTATACCCCTAAAGCCAGGGGTAGGCAACCTTTCCCCTTTAAGGGCCGAGGGACTTAATCTCCCAGAATCCCAGGAGCTATTGGCCAACATGGGACTATTGGCCAACATGGCTAAGGCTTCTGGGAGCTGAAGTCCTTCGGCCCTTAAAGGGGAAAGGTTGCCTACCCCTGCCTAAAACCATCCATGCTACCAAAATCTGTAGGTGGAGGAATCAGATGCTCACCTATCCAGTGTTGGGACCCCATCCTAATCAAAAGGATCACCTTGTCTAACACAAACCTGCCTGAATGGTGAGAATCTCTACAGAAGCATGCTTTTCTGTGCAGCAATGTATCCCAGCATCAGAGCTGGCCTGGATGGCAACCAGAAAAATGAACCGTGTCTGTTGGTGTCCCATCTGTGGAATTCTCTAACTTAAGAGAGCTTTCAATTTCTATTTCTACTCTTGGTTTATTTTAGATATGCTTTTAAGAGATTCTGCTTTTCTGTTTTGTGATTTTTTGTATTTTCATTGCTTTCCTTTTGCAAATAGGAAGCTGCTTTGGAAGTTTTTTGAGGAAGGAAAAAATAAGCAAGCACAAAGAAGTGAAAAACAGGGATAAAACCTCACACTGAAGATATAGTTTTTTCATTTTTTAATGAAATCAATATACAAAACCTTCAGGGTGTACAGAAATTCTGCTTTTTTGGGGGGTCCATTATGTGATAGTTGAACTATTATTAATGTTTGAATTATAAATTCTGAGCTGTCTAGGAAATACTTAAAAGTGAATTGCAGAATATTGAAACAAGGGAGCTCTGTTACTGATGATTGCTGCAACCAGTTTTTATGCATCTTGGATTAAAAGTGAGGTTTACTGTGAAGGGCTTTGGACACAACACCTCTAATTTGAGAAATAAAGCACTTGAAAAAATGGAAAAAATGAATCGGATTTGAACCAGGTTCCAGTGATGCCATCAAGGGACCCCATTAAGTAGAATGAGAAGGAAGACTCCCAAAATGTGGCAAGGCAGGTTTTTGTTATTTTGAAGTAAGTAAAGTGAGGCACATTGACATCTAAGGAATATAAATCCAGAGTCTTAAAATTACCCAACTGCGATATTGCAAGCAATCAGTATGGAGGTTTTCCCCCTTGTCTAGAAAAAGGCTCAGAAATTTTTTGTCTGTCTCTTCATTTGGTTGCCAAGACAGAGGGATGGTGGAGAAATAATACCTAGTTGGATCGTGGTCCATTTTTCCAAACAGCCCTGCCATTGCTGGAGCTCTGTGTCTTAGGTGGGCATAGAGGGCAAACCCAGATATAAGCAATTACATCTGAACTGCGGATCTGCAGGGAAAGCACAGCTGGCTCTATAGTTTGGTCATGCCTTGTTGACTTTTAATGGAGTCATTCACATGTTTCTTCCAAAGGTATTAAAAATCTTTCACTTTCATGCATTCCTCTGTATCCATCTGTGTTTTTTCTGGTTCTTCTTCCATATTAGGTTGTGATGTTTTGTATTCAGGGACGGGGAAAGAGAGGGAAATCAATCCTATTTTTGGTATACATTCCCCCCGCCCCCGAACATACACACGTTCCTATACATTTAATTACATATAATTCAAAAAAGAAAGCATGGGAAAATCTGCCATTGTGGATTCTTTGCAAAAATGGGAAAACAGAAGATATGCATGCACTTTTCTTGATAGATCATAAATTGGATAAATTAATTTTTAACATTACATTCATATTAACGTTAATAGTAAGACTATCTTTTCCATCTGTAATCTCCCCATTTAAGTTCAGAGGTTCAATCTGAATTGCTGCCTCCCATTATTAGCAGCAGCTGGGGCCTACAAATCCCATGCAAAATCCTGAGTTTCCCAGTTGTAATGTTTTCAGGTATCTTTCATTTCTGGAACCCCCTTCGTCTCCCCATATCCCTTACTTTTGCAATTTGATCTTGTAACTTCGCCTTAATTGCAGCTGTTGTTACCTTCTCTATCCTGAGCTACTGGCAATTAAAGTTCATCTTTGAGCCGCACCTTTCAGATCAAAGTCAAACATTCTTTCATCAACTCTCGGGCCTCTTGCAACTTTATTTTAGGGTAGCTCAGCTCTTTATAAGCTCATTAGCTCACCAAAAAAATCTTGACTTTTTTGGAGTTAGCCTTGCTTTGATCTAGTAGAATCCAGTCTCTGGGCTTAACAAGCTTTGCAGAACCTGATGTGGTCAGATCAAAGCTGATCCCTATACAAGATGTCTGTTTTACTGGACATTGGCTACTTGACAAGTTTGTCAAGATGAACTACTTAATATGAGCTGTTAGGTAGTTCAGACTGAAGGCTTTACAAGCATATTTATGTATTGAATGGCTCGAATCCATTGAAAACCAATGTCTTTATATTTTTAAATTTAGAAAGCATTTAGGAATAGAACCTGTCCAGATGAATGTTATAGAATGTGATATTTCTGGTATTACAGGCCATTCTTTAGTTTACTAAAGTGAGGGGTTGAGGAACTTTCAACTCTCCAGTTGCTTTTAACTCCAGCTCTGTGTTCTAGTCTCATAGAATCATAGAGTTGGAAGAGACCACAAGGACCATACAATCCAAATCCCTGACATGCAGGAAATCACAATCAAAGCATCCCTGACAGATGGCCATCCAGCTCCTAGAAGTTTCAGCCAGCATGGTCAGTAGGCTCCCCAGCCTGACTTAAATAATGGAAACAGATTTTAAAAAGATAATAGTTACCCAGTGTGGTGTAGTAGTTTGAACATATGACTTGGACTCTGGAGATTGAAGTTTGATTCCCTGTACTGCTATGGAAACCTGCTGGGTGGCCTTGGGCAAGTCACATACTCTCAGCCTCAGAAAACCCATGATAGCTTTACCCTAGGGTCACCATAAGTCGGAAACAACTTGAAGCCACACAACAACAACAATAACAGCAAGAACTTACCCAAATAGTTATATTTCTATTCAATTGAGGGAGGGCTAATGCACTGTTCAGTAAAATTGGGAAGGGATTAATTTTTTAATTTTTTAATTCTATTGTATTCTATTTATTTTTATTGTTGTAACCTGCCCGGATTCTTTGGGGCGGGCTATAAATAAACAATTTATTATTATTATTAAAGTTTCCTAGGACCTGATGAAACAATGTAATTCGTAAAGTAATAATAACAAAATCACTTTAAAAGCCAAAACAAAGCAACAGTTAAACAACCATTTCAGAGAGCAGCAACAAGCAGTAGGTGCAGCTGTATTTTCTCCAACTGAAACCTGGTAAGAAGTACGGTAAAGCGAGGGGTTGTCAGAGTTGCCTCTCAGAGCTCTCTACCAAGATAATAATAATAATAATAATAATAATAATAATAATAATATAAAATTTATTTGTACCCCGTCCCTCTGTGCACAATTAGGTTAAGCCTGTTTAGCTGTGCAGGAACCATGTTAGAAGTAAGAGTGTGTTGGGAGAAGTGAGAAACTGCAAGGGATTGTTATGTGGGAACCAAGATCATATAGCCGCCTGGTACTGAGTGGGAAAGACTGTCGGCTGGTGGAAGAGGAAGCTCCCGAAGAGGTTTATAGAAGCAAATCTTAACCTGTAGATTTACTTCTGGCGATTGACTGCTACTGTGCTGAATCTGATAGTCGATAAACGTTTTCTGGTTTCATCCATGCAGTCTGTTCATTGAGTTAGGTAGAGAACAGGGCATTGCAGGGGTTTTCTCTGCCTGTTCAGATAGACCAGCGGTCAAGGAACCATTTCAGGTTAGGGAGCAGGATTTTCTCCACTTTGGGAGCCAAAAGGCAGGAGGCATGGCAATGTTCCCTGGCATCTCCTTGGATTCTGGGCAAATTGCATGCACATGTTGGCTTGAGAAGGTTAGGCATTGGGCTTCACTCTGACTCTTCCTCAGTAGCGAGAACAAGAGCAATAGCAAGTACATTATCAGTGAACTGACACTCTCTAAGCAGTTTACAATGTGTAAGCTAATTGTCCCCAACAAGTTGGGTACTCATTTTATTGACCTACGAAAGGGTGGAAGGCTGAGTGGACCTTGGAG